AGGACCTCTCTCGAATGGACAGAGAAAGTTGTAAGGACGTCGCGGCCGCGACAGACGTCGCGACCGCGATAAGATTTTTTTCCCAAATTAACGAATATATATTCGTTATTTCATACAAAAAAACAATTATATAATCGTTATATTGAAATAACGATTACAAAAAACTATTAAATATCATGTATGAAATAACGAATATATATTAACTTGAACGAATATATATTCGTTATATATTAACTTGAAATAACGAATATATATTAACTTTAACGAATATATAACCGTTATATTCGTTATTTAAACTTGAAAAATGACTAAAATTAAACCTATTTGGAGTTTAATATCTTTATAATGTATTATGTGACGAATGCACGGTCGTTTAAGGTGGATTGTATACAAAAAAACAACTATAACGAATGTACAATCATTATTTCAATGTTATAACACATGTACATTCGTTATAGTTGTTTTCCGTAACTAAACGCGCTTTCAATATGGTTTTTTCGATTGAATTACTTGATAACGCATTTATATTCATGGTTTTGAACCAAAAACGAGCTTATAGATGCTTTTCTTCATGGTTTTTTCGTTATAGATGTTTTTCGACCAAAACGCACTTTCTTTATGGTTTTTTCGATCGAATTACTTGATAAAAGTTGTATATCAATGTTATATGTCATTGGAACGATGGTTTGAAAATGTTAGATCGTCGAAACAATCATAACGAAGGAAGTTTTAATTTTTTTTTTCAAAATAACGAACGACGGAACCAGTGCCCAGGTCCCCGCGGGCGCGACGACAGTCACGGGCGCGACACACAATGACAGAACCAGTGCGAAGTTCGTCGCGGGCGCGATGCACCTCGCGGGCGCGACACAAACGGTGACAGAAACGTTGCTAGGGCATCGCGGTCGCGACGCTTGTCGTGGACGCGACACAACCGTTGATAGAAACGTTGCTAGGGATGTTCGCTAATCATTTTTCGCTATCCGCAAGTGTACGGCGTAGCTATAGGTAGTGGCGAGCAAAGTCGTATTCCACAGAGATTGTAGTTAAATTAATTAAGTACTAAAATAATAACGATCAAATATTATTTAGACTAACGAATGAGATGCTGATTTTAAACTATCAAACTAAACTACGAACTAATTTACCTAAAACAATAAAATAAATCAAGATATAAAGATAGATTCTAGGTTCTGCTTTCCTCAGATATAATTCATGAAACGTTTATATTCATACAAACCTTATTTAATTTTACCAATCGTAGAGATAATCACTAAATTGATTTCAACTTTTCTCTCGAACAATCAAATCGTAGATATTAATTGTTATTTAGCTCCTCTCGGTCTCAAGATGAACAACTAACTCCCATAAGTTCCTAGGATTTTTGTTCTCTCGTAAGACTCTATCAACCTCTCGGTCTGTTTAGTCTCCCACGTTATAAATTTCCCAATTCTAGCAATCAATTATCTCCTCTCGGTCTCAAATCAATTACAAATATGCATTCATAGCGACCGTCTACTCACACAATAATAATACGCACAAGAAATTTATAAACGAAAGATAAACCGGAATGAAATAAATAAAAACTAAATCATAAATCAATCCGAGTACTAACAAATCCTAGAATCCAAAATAAATTAGCCTAGAAACATGCTTTCAAAATAAATATAAAACATTGAGTTCGAAAGAAGAAAAGAAAAAGAAAGAAAAAGCTTATTCGGCTCTGTCGATTCCTTCTTCCCGGCTTTCTCCCTCGTCTTGCTCGTGTTTCTAGCCTCCAAAAGCTCTCCAAAGATCTGAAAATTAGGTTCCAGACTCCTCAAAAACGTGTCCAAGTGGCCCTCAAATAGTTGGGGTCGAGTCCTAGTCGGAATAGGTCGAAAATACCGAAAAAATAGGAAAAATGCGCAAAACGCGCATTGGTCGCGCCCAGGATCACACGACTCGTGTCACAAGGCACACGAGTCGTGTGAAAAAGTCGAGAGCTCGATTCACGACCCGTCGGAACGACACGAGTCGTGTCGGTGGTCACACGACCCGTGTGAGTCTGGGAGGCTAAAACAGCTCCAAATCATCACTTTCAGCTTTGTTCCATGTTCCTGGTCGCGTATAGATCTCCTTAAACATCCCAGAGGTCCTCCATGTGGTCGGAAGGCGTACAGATCGTCGGGCATGGCGATTTCCGGCCAGCTCTTCTCAGCCCGGCATGGCAGGTCCTCCCCGACGGACGCGCAGCTCCTCGAGGCGTCTTCTCCGGTGACTATAGCAGGTGGCGGAGGTCGGTTTTCATGCGTCCATCATCATCGAAACGTCTGGTGACGAGCTTTAGCGAAGCTTTAATGGCTGCCATGGACACACACACATCTCCCGTACGTACATGATGAGGAAGAAGATGATTCATCCCATTCTTTTTAATCCACATATTAAAATGACCAACATGACCTCACTTAAATGATAATTTGGACTTGAATTGGGCTGTTGATTTGGGCTAAGCATTTGGATTTTAGTGGCTGGAATTTCGGCCCAGCAAGCCTGAAAATGGAGCAATTCCAATGCACTACTCGCACAATGTCTTTGACCATTATTGCCGTTGTCACCTTCGATAAATATTTCAAACCTATTTTCTGTCAAAACCCAAAATAAAACACCTCATTATAGCTTAATAAAATTAATTAAATATATAATTAATTATATAATAATTATTTAAACAATAACTAGTTATATATAAACTACGACGACACGGACACAAAAATCACTATAAAATGCACGTAAATATGACGCATGTCAAGGGCGTCGCGGGCGCGACGATTGTCGTGGTCGCGACACAGACGATGACAGTTCTGTTGCCATGGCGTCGCGGGCGGCCGTGGTGTACGTCACGCCCGCGACAAGCAACTTTTTTTTTTTAATATAGCGAATGTATGATCGTTATTAATTGTACATTTGTTGTAATTGAAACTATATATCGCGGCAGGGGCAAGTGTCGCGGGCGCGACACTGGCCATTTTCTTGGTCGGACAGAGAAGTTGCCATGACGTCGCACCCGCGACGGACGTCGCGCAAGCGACAAGGAAGTTTTATTTGTTTTTTCCAAAATAACGAATGTAGATTCGTTAGACCATACAAAGTAACGATTGTACAGTCGTTATTTTTTAAACGACTTGTAATTGGGTTCTGAACTTTTTTTCGGGAGCTCAAAATCGAACCCATTCATTACTTATTATGTTTAAACTTCTCGTCACACTAGCATTTTTAACCAATTTGATAAAATACTATTATAACCACTGCATTGTGAAGTACGTAAAAAATACTAACTTAAAAAATCGACCACCCACATCATTGCATTGAATAACACATGAAAAAATAATACAACAATGTATTATCCAAAAGATCCATACAACTAGTTACATAATAAATGTTTAAAACAACCTATGGATCAAAATGAGCACCAAATATCTCAGCAGCTAGTTTTTCACGCCAAGCAGTAATCCGAGATTGATCTACGTCTTCAACATTCTTCCCAGCATAACAAAATTCTATAAACTTGATTGTAAACATCCCACAATCAAACTTGCACCATAAATGTACAAAATCTATTACTTTACCAAGTTTCATAATACAGTTAAAAACCTAATATGATCAAAATATATATTATACGTACCCATTGCTTTGGCTAGGAGATGTCAACCGTTTCCAAATATGATCAAAATATATATTATACGTACCCATTGCTTTGGCTAGGAGATGTCAACCGTTTCCAAGCAAACTTTTTGGCACTGTATTGAGTATTCAGCTTCGTCAGTAGCATCGGTACCACAACTCGAATGGGCTCAAGTTGTTTCTCCAGTAGTGCCCTCCGCAGGACAGTTGTTTCGCTATCATAGACGTAAATGTATCTCTGCAATAGATCAATCTCTAGTGCGAGCCAGTGGCCCTCGCCCTCCTTGCAGAAAGGAACATACAGTTTCGCACAATCAGTCAACGGCTTTCCATTATTGGGTATCTCCCCTGAGGCGTATCTAGTCAAGGCCTTCGGAATTTTTTGAATCTTTGACATCTCCTTGAAGAAATTTCTCACGTACGTGACAAAAAACGTGTCCAAGACAGTACAATCTTGTCTAAACAAGAGAGGGAACTGTTTACCACGCTCGCGAATGTGAAAAAGCGCTTCATCTACATGCTAAGAGTATAATGTTTATTAGATTAGTGAATATCATGCTTTTCAAAGGTAAAATATTGAATAAACTTTTGTAAATAGTTTACCTGACTAGAAAGCCATTCATCGTTCACAAGTTTATTAAAAAAAATCTTTATTTGCTATACCACCAGAGGACAACTCAACTCCAACACTACGTAAAAAATCAATACATTAAACAAAGATATACAACCTTATATATTACAATAAATAGCCAAAAATTAACTTAACACAATTACATACCTTTAAGGGGATCTCGACAACCACCTTTGGAGTCTTCAAGTTTCGCTGGATCCACTGGCCTAAAAGGGTCGTACTCCGTCACAATTGGAATTTTTTTTTTTATTTTTTCAATATTCCTAAACGGAGTACATAGAGCGGCGGCCTTTCTTTTCTTCCGGTGCCCTCTCCCCTTAGGAGACTCAAGTGGATCGTCTACAACGATTTTCTTTATCTCCACTGGTGTCGGCAGTTGTCTCTCTTTGTAAACAACAATGGTTGATGGCGGGCCGGTCACAAAACCTACAATAAGCAAAAAAAAAAATCATTATTCATATATTTACAGGAATGCACCATTAAATTACGTAGTAGTTACAATTATATTTTACATACATACCCGCATCATCATTAAGTCCAGCCATTTCTTGCTGAGGCATCGGAGATGGTGATTTCACCGTATGTGCGAAAGAGAAAAAAAAGTGATTCAATAACATGTCGCATTTGTTTTAAAATATTACAATTATACTTGAAAATTCTATTTTTTTCTGAATAATCGAGTAAGAACATTAATATGATGCATTTATTTTTAAAAAATACCTTCAACACCATCTACACTTCGAGCGGTCTCCGTATCCCGCATATTGATCTTCAGATCAACCTCTTCATCCACATTTGTCCCGTCATAGTTAGCACGGGTAGATGGACCATCTTTTGCTTGAAAAACTAATTTTTCTATTCGGTCAAAAAAATTGTTCATCTTCATCTCCATATTCATCTCCATTCGCTCCATCTTCATCTCCATCTTCATCTCCATTCGCTTCATCTCGTCCTTCACAACTTCCGTCACAACTTCCCTGACTATAGTTCGAATATATTCTGCATCCAAAACATGTGGTTGTGGTGGATCAGGTTGAGACGCATTTTCTTTTTCTTCTTCTTCTTCTTCATCATCTTTTTCTTCTTCCTCATCATCTACATCATCATCATCATCAGCTTTAGAAGATGCACTTCCTTCTTCTTCAACTTTGGTCGCAGTGCATTCTCCATCCTCATCTTGACGGACACTATCTTCTTCCTGGGCAATTATACCCAGATCGTTCACATATGAAGACTCAACTTCATATGAACAGGGTTCCAACGTTCGTCGAACTTCAATCTGATTGAAATATAATTAGTTTTTTTAAAAGTATAAGTACAACAATAAATAAGAAGAATAATCTATAACCAAAATTACCTCCGCCCTGTCGAAAAAAGTATTAAGTTGCTCGCCTCGCAACTATTTTTCCATTTTCCAACAATACATTCTCGGAAATTGGACACCATTTCTTTTTTCGGAAAATTCTCTTCCTAAGTCGGGTAGCGCCTCAAATGCCCAAATCTGCTTAGCAAATAAGAGAGTATAATTAAAAATACAACTAACATAAATAAATAATAAGAACATAAATATAGATTTAGATGAAAAGTACCATAATAGCCAGGGGAAATCCATGCAAAGAATACTTTATGGACTTTGGATTTTTTCCCTTCCCGAAAGAGGTCCGCTGGAACAACTTTAAAGTCTGCTGATACGACAAGTTGCCCCAGGGATAACTGTTGAATTTTTCTAAATCTTCAACTAAATTAAACCATCTTTCATCTACAAGAGTCTCGCACTCTGCAGACAAAACCACATGCTCCAAGACTGTCACAAGTCCCAATTTGTACTTCGTCTCCGCGTCTTCCTCATTATCCAGCTCATGAAATTTCTCGAGTAAGTCATTGCGTTTGATCTTCCCCTTCTTCTCCTTGAACAGTTGCAAAAGCAAACTGTTATATTTGGGGACCTCGTACGCATTTTCATCATTCGCTGCCATCTTAAATCCGGTTACAAGACAAAACTCTTGTAACCCGAATCTAGCTTCTTTTTCCCCAAATCTGAACCACACCGCATCTTTGTCATTTTCGGACGCTTTCAATGTCCTACGAAGTACTTGGTGGACTAGCAAGGACAATATGAGCTCGAGAATATTTATTAGTTGCCGGAAGCACGACTCTACAAATCGATCTTTATGTGCATCGTCTAGTTTGTCAAATACTTCTCTGACAACTTTGAGGTTGCACCGATTGGTCCCGACTGCTTTGCATTTGGAAGATATATCAAACGCATATTCCTTTTTGGTTCCTAAAAACAGAAAATAAAGACAACATAAGTCATAATAGATCAAACAAGTCATAATATATCAAATGCATATTAAATAACGAATGTACCATTGTTATTTAATAAATTGAGTTTTGGTCTCCCGGCATCTTTGTGAAACAAAAAGTGAAACAAAAAGTGAAACATTTTGGATACGAAAGTGAAACATTTTCGGACGTTTTCAAATAAAAAGTGAAACATTTTGGATACTAGGTTCTAAAATAAGTGAAACAAAAAAATGTGTATGAACTTATACGAAAATTAAATGGAATTGTGGGTTTATTTTATTTGAAGTAACTTAATTCAAACTCATTTTTCACAAACAGATGATAATATGCTATGCGATAGTTAATTGGAGGTATGGGTTTCTTTCAAATTAAATCAGTTCAAATTCATTTTTCACAATCAAATGATAATATACATGTATAGATGTTCTTTAAGTCAAAATAACCATAACGAGATTACTTGTATAGAATCGTTAAAACGCCATTCAATCAATATAACCATAACGAGGTTACATTCATTATGATTTTCAACATAACAAATGTACAATCGTTATGGTTATATTTTCATCCCGGTCGATTAAATACACCTATACCTTCGCTATTTGATACATTATAACAATATTTTACTCGTTATAGTCATAGTTTAAATCATTTTTAATGGATTTTATCAATTTCTAAAAAGAAATAACTATCGTTATCTCAAAATAACGAGTGTGTATTC